GAGGTATGCGGAGGCTGCGGTGGTTTCTCCTGAGCAGGAACTCTGGACAGTAGCCCTGCCACCGAGAACTTCAGCACAAAAAGTGGAACTGATTGCACTCACTAAGGCACTGCAGATGGCCAAAGGTTAAACCGCCAACATCTATACGGACAGCAGGTGCCTTTGCTACTCTCCATATACATGGGGCTATTTATAAAGAAAGGGGCCTATTAACAGCAGAAGGAAAAGGAATTAAAAACAGAGGAGAAATATTGGCTCTCCTCCAGGCTATTTGGGACCCAAAAGAGATGGCCATTATGCATTGCCCGGGACACCCAAAGGGGACTGATCTGATTTCAAAAGGAAACCAATTAGCAGATCAAGCCACAAAGCAAGCAGCCTGAGAAACAGTACAAGAACTGGTTTATGCTCCCGGCTCCAGCCCTACCAGAAAAACCGAACTATTCAGAAGAAGATTTAAAGTATTTACAAAAATGGGTTAAACTGGACTATGAAGGGGACTGGGCTAAGACTAAAGCAGGAAAAATAATTCTTCCTTGAAGACTAGGTAAGAAGTTAGTAGACCAGATACATCAGGGTGCTCATTTGGGGATACGCAAACTCAACGAGCTTATAGGGAAGCAGTTCCAGGTTTCTAAATTAGGGCGTATGGTTCAGGATGTAGTTGATAGATGTGCTCAATGCCAGGCAGTTAATGTGGGAAGAACTAAAATGGGAAGAGGGAAAAAAGAAAGAGGTAAGGAACCAGGAATTTATTGGGAAATAGATTTTACAGAAATGAAACCCGGAAAATATGGGCACAAGTATATGTTAGTTTTTGTAGATACCTTTTCAGGCGGGGTAGAGGCTTTTTCTGCCAAACATGAGACGGCAGGAGTGATAGCCAAAAAGCTACTAGAAGAAATAATTCCTAGGTTTGGGCTGCCTCTCATGATCAGGTCAGACAATGGCCCTACATTTGTGAGTTCAGTCTCACAGGCATTAGCCAAGGCCATGGGCACTAATTGGAAACTACATTGAGCCTACCGGCCCCAGAGCTCCGGGCAAGTAGAGAGAATGAACCAGACTTAAAGAGACCTTGACAAAACTAATTCTGGAGACTGGCAGTGGTGGGTGGATCTCCTTCCTTTCGCCCTCCTCAGGGCACGAGGTACACCCTATTTAAACAAGGTGACCCCATTTGAAATAATGTTCGGGGGACCCCACCCCCCACCCCGCTCTGTCCTCAGCTACAAGAGGTTGCTCTAGCAGAAATGACTGATCAGTCTGTACTCCAGTAACCGCAGGCATTACAATCTGTCTTAAAAAGAAGCCCACACAAGAATCCGGACTGCCCACACTGGGAAGGAGACGGAGGTGGAACCACATCCTTACAAACCCGGGGACTTGGTTTGGATACGTTGCTATCAAGTGGGAAACTTGGAGCCTCGATGGAAGGGACCATTTACTGTCATCCTGACCACCCCCACGGCAGTAAAAGTAGAAGGCATTAGGGCCTGGATTCACGTGGGTCACGTCAAACGAGCCGAGGACGAGGACGCCCCCCAGAGATGGAAACCGCAGCTGACAGACCCCACTGACCGTGGACTAAAGCTAAGACTAAAAGAACTGTGAGTTTATTGTTGCTCCTATTTTACCTGTTTAAGTATAGGTGGAAAATTAGATGAACAGAATTAGGAAAAATGGAAAAGGTTATACAAAGCGGTAAATGGCTAACTCATCAGCCGACTGTGCACTACTGTTTCTTTTTGGCCCCTGCGTTATAAATGCCCTAATGTCATTTGTACCAAAGAAAATTAGAGTGATAAAAATGTTAGTCTTGGGGCGCCTGGGTGGCTCAGTGGGTTAAAGCCCCCGCCTTCGGCTCGGGTCGTGACACCAGGGTCCTGGGATCGAGCCCCCCGTCGCGCTCTCTGTTCGGCAGGGAGCCTGCTTACTCCTCTCTCTGCCTGCTTGTGATCTCTGTCAAATAAATAAAATCTTAAAAAAAAAAAAAAGTTAGTCTTACATGCTCAATATAACCCCTTACAACAGGAGAACATAGAACTGGCTGAAAAGTCAAGGATTTGACTAATTTCCAAGGAAAAGGGGGGGAATGTGAGGGCCTATATGAGGGCCTGGTTAGCCAGAGGAACTTACTTGCAAACCCCGGATACGGGGGCGGGCCAGGCTGGATGGAGACATCCAATCAGTGGGGCGCACATGTATTTACTGTGGTGTGTTGCAATCTCATTGGCTACCTGTGTGTGGGCTGGGCTCAACCACCTTTATAAAGGTTAGTCTGTGAGGCTGGGGCGGTGGGAGTAGTAGGAGGAGTAGTAATAGTCATTGGGATAGCCGTTGGGGTAGCCGTTGTAATAGTCGTTGGGACAGCCGTTGGGATAGTGTTTGGGTGATAGTTGCTAGTGTAGTCGTCGGGGAGCGGCCCTGGGGAGCGGCCTCGTCGGGAGCGGTGTCATGGGGAGAAGAGTCTGCGTCATTGGGCTTGTCATCCTCATCGTCATCACCTCTTCGTCGTTGGGAGCGGCCTCGTCCAGGGAGCGGCCTCCTCGGGGTCGTTGTCGTCGCCTCTCCGTAAGAGATGGCCCCTACCAGTTGGTTTGATTTTTGATGCTTGGCGCGAAATAAAGCTTTGCTTGACTTTCGCTTTGCATCAGTCTCATTCCTTTGATCACGGACCCTAACAGTACCCATGTCGTTGTGTGTTTCTAGTCTTCAGCTTAAATAAGACAGCAAATAGGCTAGTTCTGTCTCCAAATTCGGTTGTACCACAGCTTCAATGTTACAGTTTGTGGCTTGTAACATGTCCTATGTGACAGACGTGGCATTACAATTTTAGGAGTCCTTTTGTGACACACAAATACGCCGTGTGACATAAAAAGGTTGGTAAGTAGTCTTATAAACCAACAGGGAGATGAATCATCGTCCTCACTGGTATTTACTGGAATCCACGGTGAGCACTTTGCGACGGTTAACTTTACGGGTCAACTTGACAGCGTCATAAGGCGTCGGGATATTTGGCTGAACAGTACTCTGGGTGTGTCTGTAGGGGTATTTCTGGATGAGATCAACATCTGAATTGGTAGACTGAGTGAGGAAGACTGCCTCTGCCATTGGCGGCGGGCCTCATTCGGTCTGTTGAAGGCCTGAACAGAACAGAAGCTAGAGTAGGGGGAAGTTTGCGCCCTCTGTCTTTGAGCTAGGATACTGGTCTTCTCCTGCCTTCGGATTCAGGCTGGGACTGGAACTTGCACCACTGGCTCTCCTGGTTCTCAGGCCTTCAGACTTGGAGTGGGACTGTGCTATCGGCTCTCTTGGAGCTTGCCCTCTCGCAGCCTCCTCACTACAGAGCATGGGATTCTCAACCTCCACGATTACATCAGCCAACTCCTTGGAATAACTCTCTTTAAATATAAATATGCACACATACATAAACATACACATGCACATATACACACATTTTGTTGGTTCTGCTTCTCCGGAGTTTTCTAATCCACTGCTGTACTGAGCTATGAATTAACAATTACCATATGCAGAATCTGTATCTTTTCTCCACTCCTGCCTTTCTCAACTCAAGGAATGCTCTGTGAGTGGCAAGAGTTTTTTTTAAGCCTCTGGTGGGGTGCCTGAGTGGCTCAGCCGGTTAAGCAGCTGCCTTTGGCTCAGGTCATGATCCCGGGGCCTTGGGATGGAACCCTGAATCGGGCTCCCTGCTCACTGGGGAGCCTGCTTCTCCCTCTCCTGCTCCCCCTGCTTGTGCCTCTTTTCACTCTCTCTTTTGCTCTGTCAAATAAATAAACAAAATCTTTAAAAAAAATAAAATAAATGCCCTTGGGAACAGAAAACTGGGTAATCACGGGAGAGGGTAGCTTTTAGGGACTTAAGGGCAAGCAATGGAGTGCTAGGAAGGGGCCATAAGAGGGAGCCATTAAGACAATGAGTTTGACCAAAACTTGTAATCTTTATATCCAATTTGCAAACACTTAAAATGTATAGTTTGCTTGGTCTCAGTGGCACAAGTGTTTCTTTTGTTTGATTTCCTACCACATTTCTAATGAACTGAAGATATTATCACCAAGTTAAAGTTTTGTGAAATCAGAACCTTGCCTTTTACTGGATATAATTTCGCTTCAGCCGTAGCTGGATGAAAATTCTAGAAAAGAATAAAGAGACCAGAAGAAAAAGCATCAAGTAGCCGCCAAGTGCTACCTACACAGAAACTCAGAGCTGCTGTGGATAAATACAGTGTCTTCTGAGAAAGATGAAACTGTTCGAGCTCAGTATTTTATGGAGCCTAATTTTGGTGCAAAACAACATTTGGATACAAAAAGCCAGAAAAAAACATCAGTCCTTTGTTGAAAGAAAGAAAGAAAGGAAGGAAGGAAGACAGACACAACAGGCCCAAAGCAGAGTCACTTGCCCCCACCACCGCAAACCAAACCTTCACCGCCTCTCCCAGGAGGGTGACCTTTATCCAGTGGACCGGAAGCTCCTGATCAACACTAGTGAGGTAATCCACATGAGAGACCCGACCCTCCTCCCAAAGAAAGGTGACTTTGCCAGTATAATCCACTCTATGCTAGGTAACGTCTTCTATCAGGCCCTCCTCGCCATAAAAGCCTACCATTTTGTACAGGTCCTTAGAGCTCCTTTCTGTTTGTTACGTGGGATGCTGCCTGATTCATGAATCTTTGAATAAAGCCAGTCTGATCTTCAAATTTACTCAGCTGAATTTTTTTTTAACAACTCCTAATCTCATATTCCTGGGCTCAGTGCCTCTGCGCTGTTGTTAGTGTGTTTAGTTTTGACTGGGGGTTCATTAAAGAGTCCAAGGAAAACTCTAAGGAAAAAAAAAAAAAAACCCAGAGGTCTAAAGGCTGACAAAACCCTGTAAACAACTGCAGTGTAGCTGAGGCAGAGAACAAACGTCCAGCGAGAAGAGCTGTGGGAGGAGGAAAGAGAAGGCAGAGGAGGAGGGACACCCCCTCTGCGGCTTCTACCTGCCATATTTGCCCGGCTGGTCCCCAGGGCCTGAAGTATCAGCTGCAGCTCCCTGACGGCTGTTGCAGCTTCTTCTCCACAGGACATGTCCGGCTCCAGCACCACTTCCAGAAGTCCAACTCCTACCAAAGACAGGCAGAGTCAGCCCGACTGCAGCTCTCCAAACTGACCCGCAGGTACAGTTGGCTGAGGTCTCAGGAAGAAGCCTGCATCACTGATGGGCTCTCTGCACGGGTTCCAACCTTTCAATTGTTTCTGCTCCCCCTCACACTTTTATTTTTAACTTTGGTTCTTTCAACGTCTGCCTGAGGTATCAAGCTCCTGGGTCTGTGACAGGGCGGCTATGTTCATCACACCTTCCGGGTGGGCTTTAGCAAGCCCGATGGGGATCACCATACAGGCTGTGTTCTCTAGTCAGCTGTGTCAAGACCAGCACTGATACTTGATCTGGGTCTGTCAAACTCCTGGGCCTGTTTCCTCAACTGGCTTAGGAGAACTCTAGAGGGGAAGGAAGGAAAGGTAAGAGACAATCTTCAAGCCTACCTGCCCTGTTCAAATCGATGAGCGTCTGAGACCGCAGCTCATCATGGAGGCTTTTGCCACTGTCTTGCTCCAGCTGGATCTGCTTGATCCTCACGGTCTTGGTGATCACCCGACTCGGCTTCTTCCCCACACACACACTATACGCTAAGCTCCCATTCACAGCAATCGGGAGCCTCTGCTGGGTAATCTGGTAGCCCGCCTGCACACAACATGCATTACATTACACCGTCACGAGGCCATAAATAGAAGCTGGAATCCATTTTACTAATTTCTTTTTAAGTCACAAAACCATAGGCTTACTTAAAAACACTTAGCCTGGCCTCTTCTGGCTTCTCCTCTCCCTCCCTCCCTTACCTTCCCTGCACCTCCCCAACCCCCAGTAATGATGCAATAAACACCACGAACCCCATCTTCCCTACCCAAGTACCATTTTGGGGGAATAACAATAATCTCACTGTCAGAGGCCTCTAAGAGAAGAATTTATTGTTTCCACTTAGCTCATTAGCCTAAACCCTGCATCTGATTACTGGGCTCTTGACAGACCCTCCTTATTAGAAAGTGCTGGCTAAGCATTCCGCCGTCAACTCTCAGCATGGCAGACAGCAGTTGCTAGAGCACTGAAGCCTGTTTTGTTCTTGCTCTTTAAGTTAACCAGTCACGCCAGCTGCCCTCCCAACCTGACAGCTTCCCCCGTTTCCCTCGCTAGGAAGTGCTCTGACAATCACAATTTGCTAACAGAAAACACGAGGTGCAAAAGTACTGACGGATGTGGCCAGGGCTCCCTCACGTCTTTGGAGTAGAGGAATAATGACTTTCGAAGGCCCACACGCATCCACACCCCATAAAGAGATGGGAGGGCAATGCGGAGAACTGGAGGACACAGAGGCAGTGCCCGTGGAGTCCCAGTTACTGTGCTGAGTTCTTCACACTGTTTAGTCCTCATGGCAACCCTAGGAGATGCATGGCACGGAAGGGGTTAAGGGCCACAGGGCTAGTAGGTATCCATGCCAGGATCTGAACATGGACAGTCAGGCTCCAGAGTCTGTGCTTTTAGCCACCAGGCCAGCATTTTTCAAACTGTCCCTGCATGGGAATCATCTGCGAGGCTGCACCTGAAGAGTTTCTGATTCTGCAGGTCTGGGGCAGCACCTGAGACATTTCTAACAGGTTCCCAGGAGGTGCTGATCTGAGGGGCGTGTGGGCCACACTTTGAGAACCACTCCGTTAGACCAACTCATTCTCTGTACTGAAAGAGCAAGTCTTAGTCTGTAAAAACTGAACTCTGAGTTGGGTTGCTGAACGAAATACAGGACGCTCAGTCCTGTCCAAATTTGAATGAACCTTTTATTCAGATAAACAACAAATACTTTTTTAGTCTAAGTGTGTTCCACGTTAACATTCAGCAACACTTACTCTGGTTATCTAGGCCACCTGGGCCAGAGAGACCAGAAAGCCACTGAGAATGAAAACATCTCGTTTTAGTCGCAGAACGCTGTCTCCCACCTTCACCAAATGGATTATCACTCTTAAAGGCCGGAAAAAAAGCAGCTTCATTTCCTTCATCCTACCAAGCAACAGAATTTGCTAACGGCTGGCAGCCAGGGGAAAAAGCAGCAGCAAGCAACTGGAGAAATAACACTCGGCTGCATTCTTAAATTTAATTCCACTCTGTCCTCACCCATGAAGACCACCAGCTCACCCTCACCCTCAGTTCAAGGAGAATAAGGTGAAGTGGTATCACCACGATCATTCTCCTAGATCTGAAGAAAGGGTGTGCTTACTATCAGAGGCTAAGATCAAATGAAGTATTACTTTAGGAAAACCCACTCGCCATTACAGTCTTGGTTCAGTTCAATATTATGAAAGACTGGCTTTAGTTCATCCTGGCCTTTCCTAAAGAAGAAACTTTATAATTTGAAGGCAAAAAACAGGTTAATATGGTTTACTGCCAATTTACAGCCAATTACTGTTGTTAGTCGAGGCTTCTGGTTCATGTTTCTGCTTCTTACTGTCCACTTACTTGCTCCTTGTGAGATGACAGAAATGTCCCTAGAGGGGACAGTCCTATTATTGGCAACTTCAACTTAGAAGAGGAGAGCTACCACTCTGTCTACGGAGCTGCATTTACTGGTGCATCAGCCTCGGAATTGGACTTGACCTCACAGGCAACTAGCACTGAACACCACGGCCGGGCCGAGCCTGAGAACATGGGCTTCTACTCCCTGTTCAATTATGAGGGAGCCAGCAGAAGCATGAGCCTAAGCAAGGAGTCAGCAATCAGGACAACTGCATCCAATCTAGTAAACATCGGGGGGCACCTGCCTTCATCAGGGCCAGGCAGAACCTCCCGCTGACTCGGACAGAGCTCCGACTGCAAACATGAGAGCCACAGCCCCCCTCCCTCGCGTCATGCCCCCCCCCCCCGCCCCAAGCTCCGAGAACGTACAGAGGGCGGACCGCCAAGCGTACTTACAGGGAGGTCTGCATAGAAGTAGTGTTTCCTGTCAAACAAGGACTTCTTGTTGATGTGGCAGTTCAGTGCCAGGCCTGTCATCACGGCTGCTTCTACGCACCTCCTGTTGAGAACCTATGGAAGCACGACACACGGCTCGTCTCAGATCCAGGCCGAACAAATGCTTCTCCCACACACTGACATCTTCCCTGAATATTCAGTTTGGCCCTTCAACAGGCATTATCTCTGGTTCTCTTGTGTGGGCAGCTCCAGTTCACAAGCAGACTCTTGTCTGTCTGGAAGTGGGAAAACTTTATATAAGAAAGGAAAATGCACACAGTGGTGGGTCCTGCAGGGTATTTAATGAACTGCCACATCGGAGATCCTTTTCCCCGGTACCGGGCATCAAAGTGAACAGGGAGGGGCCCGGCAAAGCTCAGCAGAGTGGTGAGTACGGGGAATCTACTTAATCTCATTCCCCGTGCACAGAATAAGGAGCCGGTCAGAATACAGAGGCAGCACAGGTTCCTAAGAGGAGGGTCCGAGAGGGAGCTCATGGAGTCACCTCAGTGAGGGTGGAAAACACTTCAGCAGAGAAAGAATGAATTTCTGGGGGCGCATGGATGGCTCAGTGGGTTAAGCCTCTGCCTTCAGCTCAGGTCATGATCTCAGGGTCCTGGGATCGAGCCCCACATCGGGCTCTCTGCTCAGCGGGGAGCCTGCTTCCTCCTCTCTCTCTCTCTGCCTGCCTACTCTCTCTCTCTGCCTACTTGTGATCTCTGCCAGAAAAAAAAAAAAAAGAATGAATTTCTGGAAATTCTGGGGAAAAAAATGTTATTTCCTAAAGGGCTGGGAAATGTGGCCTGCCCGCCCCCTTGCTTTCAGTCCAGGACTGGAGAACTCGAGAGGTGCACACCGAGTGTGCCCTGTACCCTGACTGTTCCTGCACCGCCAGTCCCTCCAGGGGCTCCCGGAACCCAAAGGTTCCTTCTGGGTCCCACCCTCCCCCACTTTCAGGAGTGAATGACCAAGAAATGACTAGCAAACTTCCCAATCCAAAAGGAGGTGAACAGCTTTTAAGAACTTTCGGGGTAGGGATGTGGGGTCTAGAATAAAGCTGACAACTGGAGATAAGGAGAAAGCATTCAAAGTTCTGGAGTCAGACGGGTTCTCCTATGTGTAAGTATAGCTGTATGAACAGAAGGCTCAGTTTGCTCACCTCTGAAGTAAGCATTTAGTATCTACCTTGAGAAGCGCAGAAAGTAACAGCCAGAACATCTACTCCATAGTAAGAAATAAATAACTAGCGCATTCTCCCCACTCTGCTTGCTAATGAAACACACTTCTATTCTTTATTAGAATATTTATAATGTTCTTTGTTTGTGTAGGGCTTTCCACTTATTTGTGTAGGGCTTTCCACAGCCACCATTTTATTCCAGCCTCACAGCAACCCTGTAGGGAAGGAATTTGTATGGTCTCGAAATTTCAGGAAAAGAAAAAACTAAGACCCAGAGATACCAAGAGACTCGTCCCAATCACAGAGATGGCAAACAGTCAAGTTAACTCCAAAGCACACACACGCCCTTGCCTAGTGGGTGATAAACAGAATCCCAGTGGCTTAGGGACCAGCCCTCCAGGCTGGAATAACGAGTGCGGCCCCCCCCCGCAACACAAGCACAGCTTGCCGATCAAACACAGATTTTGAAAACCAATCCATACAACAAAATGTAGGAGGCATCTCTACTTACTGCAATATGCAACCCCCAAAGACACCCCAAACAGCAAATCTCCCTCCTGGTAACATCATCACACGCCTTTTCTTCAGAAATCCGACTATAAAATGGAGCCTTCTCACAACTTCTATCTGGACCTCTTTATTCTGTGCCAAGTAATATTGTCAGCTCTACAGTAATAATGGTTCTCGCGAAGAAATGTATGTGTGTGTGGGGGGGGCGGGAACAGGATGCTCTAATTATTGATGTTTTCACTTGCTAATGTTTGGTGTTTTACCAAGCAGTTGTTACCACAATACAAACATAGCTAGCTAGCAGAGAACACTACCAGCTCCCAGCCTGTCGGTTCAGGTCAAGCCCACAAGAACACGGAACCGGAGTCCCAGCCTGGGGCCCTGCTCCTCCTCGGCTCTGCCGAGGCTTGGGCTTGCGGTAAACTGCCTGTCTGGCTCATCTGTACCAGGTCTGGCTTTATCACTCCCACTGATTTTCCAGCTACCGTTGGCTCGCTCGTCTCTGCCAGTCTGCCGCTCAGAGGGCCCAACCTGCTTCCTCCTTTCCTAGGTGTGAAGAGAACCCAGGTTTGATTTGTTTGCAAATTTCTGCACACAGGTTGCTAACAAACTCCCTGCGCTGGCTCTGCAAGGGAGTAAGGGGTGGCGAGCGATCCCAGACTCCCACTGTGCCTGCATGCACAGGAGGACACCGGCACTTGAGAAACCATCAATTTCCAAAGAATAAGAATGCAGGAAAACACATAAACATTAGAGCGATATTGAATATACTTTAATCTTTTTTTGATGATTTAGAAGACTTGAAGTACTTCAGGGTCAGAATTATAAGCATCAATCATCACCACACTACAGTTGCACAGAGGGGCTAGTAAATAGAGAGTGCCAGTTAAAAGAATGCCAAGAAAAAAGAATTTATTATGATCTTAGTCAAGCTGCTTATGACAGATGGAGATCCAGGTCAGCATGTTCGGAGGACGGGATGTAGAACTGGAAAATTCAACTTGGGCTGTCTATTTTGAAAAACTTCTGAAGTATCTATACAGTACCATATTTTAGGGATACAGAGGTAAATGGGACTCTGTCACTGCCACCAATGAATCTGCAGTGGAGACATGAACCTGCCAACATCTAGCTCCCTCTCAAGTTCACCTTCTATACTAGGAAGACTTTGCTAAAAATGCAAATCTTACAGCATTCTGTTGCTTAAAATCAATCAATGGCTCCCAATACTCACATGACAAAGGCCAAGCTTTTACATGATCCACTTCCCACCTCCATCTTCAATTTCATCTCATATTAACAATCCTCCCCCCAAACACATATGGTCCATCTCCTATATAAACGGTGTTGACCTGTGGACTCTCCCTCTTCTCATTCCATTCAAAATCTACCGAGATGTCACCAAACCTGTGAAACTTTCCTTATTCTTCCTATGTACCCCTCTGATCTTCTACACACTTCCATTTGTGCTAGTATTACCCTGGACTGAATTTATTTACATATATTCCCATTAGACTAATTTTCATGAGGATGGGAACTGTCTGCTCATCCTTCCATATCCCTGGAGCATAAACAGAACTGAAACGTAGTGGTGCTCAATTCATGTGTGTTAGACTCAAATGAGGGTGGAGGTGATGGATATCAAGGCAAGGTTTCAGAGAGGCAGTGATGTCTCAATCTCCTCAAAGGTATTACTTGCCACCTGTGGCCTTCACACTTGTTTCTGGAAGTTTCCTGAAGCAAAAACCAATCATGTATGATGTGATCAAAGAGGTTAACTTGAAGATTCAAAGACTTAATCTGTCCCAAAGAAGGTGTGTTCCAGAATTTTCTTTGTAATTAACATAAAGGGACTACAAAGGATCTCGGGGTTAGCCACAAGAGCTTTCATGCAGAAGGAAAGCCATGATCCCTGGAACTCATATAGCACACCTTTCTCAATGGAGTCTTCACTCTTAAAGGAGGCTTCACACTGCCTTCAGGAATGATCCCTGGCAAGTATTTATTGCAAAGGAGATGTGCTATGCACAACACGTACATTTGCCATTTAACCCTCGCAGTAATCCTAGGGCAGACACTACTACAATCCTCATCTTACTGATAATGAAGGGAGTCACAGAGATTAAGTCATTTAGCCAAGGTGACCCACACAATAAATGGCAGAGCCAGGAAGTCAGACCCCTGGAATTCAGGCTCTCAATGACTACACTCTACCTTAGATCTTCAAAGAATAAAGCATGTTACTGATAGCTAGCAACACCGCTCTATCTGGCCAGAACTCTGGAGCAGCAACTCAGACCAAATTCCACTGCAGATAATGTAAGGCAGATACTGTTTCTAACACCTTCTCCATGGTGTCTATAGGTTTGTTTTCAGATGTTGAGCTTCTAGAGAACAGGCATTGTGTTCTCAATTTGTAAAATAATACTGTCTCTGGTATGTGGAACTTTGGATACTGAATGGACCTACAGGTTTTCTCCATTAGCAGGGGATGTTGTATCGACACAAACTTCCAAAAGCCTTAGATACAAGAACTACCCATGAAATGATTTCTCAAATAAGTGAAGAGGCTCTTCTATTTTAATTAGAAGATAAGAAAAGTAGAAGTAGAAGAAATGTGCATCAGATCTCCAAGGACACACTGCCCCAATTTGAGAAACAGTCTTAAGTCTTCTAAAGACTTACGTAGCCTAACCAGGCAAGCATTTCCTAATCTCTGAGTACAATGGACCATCATTTATGACAACTTCCACCACATTCCCACCCTCCTCCAAAAAATCACCAGGCTGCACACATTTTACTTTCCTAGTATATCTTGACTTTCCCCACTTCCTCTCAATCCTCTGGTTTAATTCAGGTCTCTTTTCATACATCCTTCCCTCCAGCTGAGACTTCTGCACTGATCACCTGGCCAGGTTTCTCTCCCTCCATTCTAGTCATCTACGATCTCCTTCATGCCCATTTAAGAGTGACCTTTCTAAAGGGTAAACTCTGTCCACGCAATGCCCCTGCTTAAAACCCTTCTTCACTACTTCTCGTAACTTAGAGGATAAAGTCCAATTATTTGCTGGAGTCTTCTATGTCCTTCATAAGTTAGTCCCCAACTACCTTTCTAGCCTCCTCTTTTTCCACTGTCCCCGACCCCAGAGACCCTCATGCAAACTTGCATCTGACGTGCTTCTTCTGTACAAACTGCTGCTTCTGCTGGTAATGCCCTTTCTTCTCATCCACTTGAGCAAGACCTTAGCCCCTGGCAAGGCCTGGATGTCCCACCACTAGCGTGGTCTAGGTATTCCTTCTTCTCCAGTAAAGCACGTCTCCCCAAGCCAACTGAGCTCCCTGAGGGCAGTCAAGTTATTTTATCTTATTCCCCTCTGCCCCACTACCT